TGCGTTTTTCTCGAAATGAAATTTTTCAAAACGGTGAACAGTTTGACTTGAACAGTTTTGATCGGATTGACTTCGGCCAAAGTTTTTTTTGTTCGTCATTTGCTAATGCTTCCAACGTAGCCGAATTTTTGTTTGTTTGTTTTTTTTTGGCAATAGATTTTTGGAAACCATTTCGCCCTAATAATTGACTTTTTTTCAAACAGCTGCCAAATACACAAAAATTAATATTTTTAAAATATCCTACGTACTCTAAAACTAAATCTATCACCGATTCAGAAAACTTTGAATTTTTTATTTAGATTAAACGGTCTAGCCGGAATCTTGTCCACCGATTAGGGGCCGTCCATAAATTACGTAACACGTTTAAGGGGGAGGGGGGGTTCGAGAAAATGTTATAATGTTACTTGGGAGGGGGGGTCAATCATCATTGTTACGTAATATTTATAAGGAACTTAATCTCTTTATAATGGATAAATTTTTGAAAAGCTGTCCCTTGCCGCCACTTCAATATAAGTAAAAATCGAATCATTTCGCGAATCGATTCTTGGGAATAATATAAAATTATTGTTAAAAAATCAATGTTGTATTTTTGGTTGTTCAGTATGATTAATAAAATTATTCCTCTAAATGTTTTTTATATTTAACTTAATTTTGTATTGCTGCACTGAGAAAACTGGAGTATTGGACTAAACATCTGGAGGGACAAATCGTTCATGTTTGAGAGTTAGCTATTGGATAACAATCTAAATGTTCAAATTCACCATTGACAGATATTCGTGCCATTTCTCTAACAGAGGGACAAATTAACCATCTTGAGAAATCCCTTCCTTATCCGGCGCGAAATGAATAAATATGGTAACCTAACCCCTAAATTAAATACATAAAATGTCAGAAAAATAATTTCGCGCGCATCAGATCGTACACATTTTCTGCGCAACTTTTAACCCTCAGATATAATGGGAGAGAATATACAAGTAGTAGTCCAGGCGCCCTGTCAAAAAAAGGTCGATTTTGTGACATAAATCCTATCCAATAGGCAAAAATGTTTTTTGATAGATTCGTAGCATAGAAACAAAGGCTAACAGTTTGCACCAACCTACACTAAGCGCGTTTATTGTTAAAAAACTTTTAAGATGACAAAATCAGTTTTTTGTAGTTTTTTGAGGATTGTTCTTCGCAGTGAAATTTTAGAGAAAAAAGTTGTTATTAAAAGTTGTAGAGCATAAGAATACCTAAAGAATGAGAGGTCGCACGATATATTTCACCAATTTGTTTACGAGTTACAGAATTAAAACCATAAAAGTCAAACGATTTTTAAATATTTTATAATTCATTTAATTCTTATTTAATCAAACTTTCCTTTGGCAAAATGATTGCTTTTGAGGCCCTTAATAAGCATAAAAAATTTTGACCCAATCGGATTAATAGTTTTTCCATAATCTGATTGTTAATTAACAAACTTTTTTTTTGCATTGAATGTCAAATTTGTGAATCGTTAAAAAAAAATTTTTTTCAAGTTGCATTTTACTCTTAAGGGTCTATATTTTTTATAACATGTATTGCAGAATAAAAAAAGAAATTTTTATTGCTAAAAAACAAATTTTTAAAAATGGTCAATTTTTTCACTATAAACAATGAAGCATATCTCAATCAAATTTTATTTTAGAAAATCGGGATAGAAACATCTTTATTCCTTGTATCTTTCTACAACTTTTAAGACCAAAGTGATTAATCTAGCTCAAACGGTATTAGAAATAATTTTTTTTTTTCAATAAAATCCAGACAATTTGTTTATTAATATTTTTTAATTTTTTTCGTACAGATTTGAAGATTACAATCTGCAGTTTAATATAAAAAATCGTGAAATTTATCCATTCATTATTAATAATTAAAAGAGGACATTAAAATCAAAGTAAGAATTTATCTTGATGTAGCGCGTGGAGTGGGGGATGGAGTCCAGCGGCGCGTTGCAGCCGCTCGCATCAGAATATTGAATTCGGGCAGCATTTAAATTCGCAAAAGTTGCTGTAACTTTAGAACAAATTGACCGATTTTGATCTTTCTTTTTTTAAACTAGGGTGTTTTTTACTCAGCTATTCAAATTTAATATTCTTTTTTCAAAAAAAAATAAAATTTCTATCTCTAAATTAATATTCATTTTTTTTAAATTTTTATTTTCTCTAATAATTTATTGTAAAATAAAATAATTCTTTCCTAAACCTTTTAAATTCATTAAATTCAATTTAGAAATTAATTTAACAAAAGAAAATCGTATATTTTTGAAACTTTTTTTGAAAAAATAATTATGTTAGTTACTTATAATATTTTACATTGTAATAGAAAATAATTTTTTTAGGAAAATAAAAATTTCAAAAAAATTAAAATTATTTTTCTCATATTATTTATAATTTTTTTAAGAAGGTAATAAAAGATTTGAAATCCTGAGAAAAAGTTAGCCCAGTTTAAAAAAAGAATGATCGAAATTTGTTAATGTGTACCAAAGTTTTTATATCTCGTTCGGATTTATCAGGATAATTAAAGGAATTCGTGCTGATGAAGAGTATTCTCGAAATTTGCAAGTAATTTTCGAAAAAAGTATTGAAAAAGAACGTTGAAAAGTTGAATTTTTGGTAAAAGTTTAGGACAATATGTTGGCGAGCCCACAGACAAGTGAATCTATGTGTCAGTGGTCAAGGAGGTGGCGCCAATTCTCGGGAGTAGCCGCGACTTGAACTAAGGAAACTACACCATCTCCACCATCGCGAGCGAGTTAAATAGTAAACTCCACGCGCTACATCAAGATAAATTCTTACTTTGATTTTAATGTCCTCTTTTAATTATTAATAATGAATGGATAAATTTCACGATTTTTTATATTAAACTGCAGATTGTAGTCTTCAAATCTGTATACGAAAAAAATTAAAAATGATTAATAAATAAATTGTCTGGATTTTTTTGAAAAAAATAATTATTTCTAATACCGTTCGAGCTAGATTAATCACTTTGGTCTTAAAAGTTGTAGGAAGATACAAGGAATAAAGATGTTTTTATCCCGATTTTCTAAAATAAAATTTGACTGAGATATGCTTCATTGTTTATAGTGAAAAAATTGACCATTTTTAAAAATTTATTTTTTAGCAATAAAAATTTCTTTTTTTATTCCGCAATACATGTTATCAAAAATCTATATTGATTAATATAGATATATATTAATATAGATGAATATCTGAAACCCTTAAGAGTAAAATGCAACTTGAAAAAAAAATTTTTTTAACTATTCACAAATTTGACGTTCTATGCAAAAAAAAGTTTGTTAATTAACAATCAAATTATGGAAAAACTATTAATCCGATTGGGTCAAAATTTTTTATGCTTATTAAGGGCCTCAAAAGCAATAATTTTGCCAAGGGAAAGATTGATTAAATAAGAATTAAATGAATTATAAAATATTTAAAAATCGTTTGACTTTTATGGTTTTAATTCTGTAACTCGTAAACAAATTGGTGAAATATATCGTGCGACCTCTCATTCTTTAGGTATTCTTATGCTCTACAACTTTTAATAACAACTTTTTTCTCTAAAATTTCACTGCGAAGAACAATCCTCAAAAAACTACAAAAAAACTGATTTTGTCATCTTAAAAGTTTTTTAACAATAAACGCGCTTAGTGTAGGTTGGTGCAAACTGTTGGCTTTTGTTTCTATGCTACTAATCTATCAAAAAACATTTTTGCCTATTGGATAGGATTTATGTCACATACTATTGATAGGGCGCCTGGACTATAGATTTCCATTATCAATTCAAAATTTATTTTAGAAGGACTATTTAACTCTCTTCATAAGCAAAGGAAACATACACTTTTTGAACCTCTGAATTTGACTCTACAGTTTTCTCAGTGTATTGTACGATATAAATACTAAAAATAACAGTAATAAACAAATTTGTTTCGAAAAACGTTAGTAAAAAAATATTTTTAAAAATTACGTAAAAATGATAGGGGGGGGGGGGTGTAAAACGATTTTGTTACAACTTGTTACATAGGGGGATGGGGGGTTTAAAATTTCACTAAAAACGTGTTACGTAATTTATGGATGGCCCCTTAACTGCACATTTAATCACTTAAATGATTCTTTAAAATCATTTAAAAAGGGAAAGAACTTTGTGACGATTGGTGATCTAAAGAGAGGGGGGTGGAAATAATGTTAAGCTGAGTCTCCAATAGGTGCCAATAAGGCTATTCAAGTTGGGTGGGGGAAAATTCAAGATGGATGCTAACTGGTGCACAAACATTGTATAGAAAGTGTATGGGATAGAGTCTAATTTTTTAAATATCTCGCTTAAACGAAATTTTTAACCATAAGTTTATTAGGATTTTATGTTTTATTTTTAAAGAGCTATTTTTTGCAATAATAAAATCAATAAAAAAATAAAATCGATTTTTATTATTGCAAAAAATAGTTCTTTAAAAATGAAACATAAAATCCTAATGAACTTATGGTTAAAAATTTCGTTTAAGCGAGATATTTAAAAAATTAGACTCTATCCCATACACTTTCTATACAATGTTGGTGCACCAGTTAGCATCCATATTGAATTTCCCCCTACCGAACTTGAATAGCCTTATATGCATGTGCAAGTGCCAGTGCCAGTGCCAAACCCATTTAAAATGTATTGGGGATTGGCACTGGCACTGGCACTTGGACCTACATTGGCACCTATTGAAGACTCAGCTTTAAAAACAGCGTGACGTAGTTTATGGATGGCCCCTAATATAAATTATCCATTTTGGTCACAACTAAAACTAACATCGAACTTAATAAATATAATTCTAGTTAGAAATCATAAAAACCTTAACTATATCTATTAGGATTAAATGGTTTTTTTTATCAATTTCTGTTCAGCATTCTTACTAGGAAGAAAACCAACTTAAAAGCTGTTTTTTTACATGAAAGTATCAAATTAATTATAATTGTTTTATTACTAAAAGAATAAAAACTTACCGAAAATAGTAACCAAATAGCTTTTAGAAATATGACTTCTGAGTACTTTTCGATAACACTAGTCAATTTTACTGTTAAGGCCTTTTGAGTGATGATAAATATTCTGAGAGAAAAAACATTGTTAAAATATTTTTAAATTACACAATATTAGAATTTAATAATACCGTCATGCGAGGCTGTTTGCTGCACCTAGGTGCTACTTTGTGAGCGCAAGGAAGGATTTTAATGGAGAAAATCTTTATAATAAATTGTTTGAATTTGCTATTTACCCAGGCGGAAAAGTCGGACGAACGTCGGAGTTAACAACCGGCTGGGATCCGGGCCCGTACAGACCGCAAGTACCGACGGTCTGTACCGATTCGGATCTGAAAAAGCAACCGGCGCGGTACAGATTATGCTCCGACTGTCGGAACCGTCTTCCCACTATTGTCAGTACTGGCTCGGTACTGAATTTCTTCCGCCGGCGGATCTTATTCTTCTGCGGCATCGGAAGAATGACGGATATGTTGAGTCTGTACTGGCTCGGTACTGAGGCGGATCCGACTGCGGATCTCGTCATTTATTGTCACATTATAAATTAAATAATTATTACAAGTAATTGCATTATTTTAGAAAATAATTATTAATAAATGAATCTAATCAATATATTAAGTAATTATTTATTGAGACTTTTTTAAAAATTAAATAATTAGAAAAATTCGTTATTAATTAATATTATATATTATTAATTAATAATATCTCAATAATAATTAAATAATTGTTTCTCAATATAATAATATTGAAGGTAATGATATTAATAATTTTAATTAATATCTTAATAATAATAAATTTATTGTTATTGATATATTATTAATTAATATTAATATTGATAATTTATTATTAATTCTCAACAATATTAATGTTAATTAATAATATCTTAATAATAATAAATTTATTATTATTGAGATGTTAATTAAAATTATTAATATTATTACGTTCAATATTATTATATTGAAAAACAATTATTCAATATAATATGTATTATATAATAATAAAAATATAACAAGTTTCTTTTTAACGAAATATTGAAATAGTCCTAAATATACATTCAATAAAGTATTGAAAATATAGCGGTATCATTGACGCGTAGTAATTCTGCAAGTTTTATTTGAGCTAGTGACACTTGAGAGTATTTAAGATTTGAGAGTCCCATGCGAGCGTAGCATAGTGGTTAGCGTGCGAGATTTCGGTGCGTAAATATTCGGTTAGGCGTAGGTTCCGTACCCCCAAGCGTTAGGATTTTTCAAATGTCTATGTAATAAAAAATTGCGTTTAAGTGTATAAAAAAATAAAAAAAATGTGTAAAGTGAACTGTCAATGAATTGTCATCAGTATTTATCTTTTGCAATTAATTATTATTTTTGTATTGATATTTGTTGAAATTATCATTTGGATCCGATCCGGTTGTCAGTTGGTAGAATGCCAGCGCTCGGCTGGCTATTAAATGAAAAATCCACGGTCGGTAGAGTGCCAGGTCCCAGCCGGTTGAATTATACACGGAACGGCTTCTCCCGGCCGGTCAGCGGGCGGTAGAATGCCAGTTCCGAGCCGGTTGCCAGCGCGCTCCTGGCCTAGTCACTATTCGGTAGAATGCCCGTTCACATTCGGTTGGCAGGCGGTTCCGAGCCAGTACAGTTACACCGGCGTCAGTACGGGCTAGGATCCGCGCCGGTTGGAAATTTCCGCCTGGGTTTTAAAGAAATGTCACTTGAGTCGCCGGGAAGTAAAACGATATATAAAATTTGTTCGGTCGTTTTCATTGGCTTCTAACATCTAAAAATCAATGTTTGAAACATAAATTTTAGCCAAATTTATCTTTTGAAAACAGAAAAAAAATTAAACTGAAACTTGTATTTTTTAGATTAATTTTTCAGGCATCAGGGACCAATGAAAACATCTGTACAAATTTTATATGTGGTTTAACTTTCGGGCGACACACTTAATATCTAGGTAATATATAATTTAAATAAGTTATTTTGTAATAAATCCAGATTTTAGTAAAATCTTAGTATCTTATTTTAGAATTTGTTAGCTCCCTGGGAGAGGCAAGATTGTCCATGACTACAACCACTACAACAGTATATATTATATCAATAGTTGATTTTTTTAAATTCTGAATTTTAATGAATGAATCCTTGAGTGAAACAAACTATTGATGCACAAAAGAGCCCTGTTTGACGGTATTCAAAAATATATTTAATTAATTTAAATAAAATTATGAACTCACTCTGTAGTTCCTATATAATGACAGTAAATTAAAAGCATCAATGAATCAGCTTGACAAGTGTGCATTTTCAAAAGATTTTCCCATTGTTGGCAGTCAACCGTTAGTGTTTCAAAACCAGTGCGAAGAAATATTTGAAATGCAGATGAACCTCCTTGCCAACTGTCTATAGGTAATTTTAAATAATCTTTCAATATTACTATTATTTCAGACATGAGACTGCAAACTTTATTTCTGAAAAGATTACTGAAAAAGAAAGTGATTTTAGACCTGATAACAATACAGTAGGTAAACCGAATCCATTTTAATTTCCCGTGTAGAAATTTCGCTGGGGCCCTGATCAGGGCCGAATAGGGCCGACCTATTAGGGAATGAAAAACGCCGCGCCCGATGTGGCCCTGATCAGGAAATCCACATTTTCTTGTCGCCCTGATCTGGCCCTGATCGGGCGCGGCGTTTTCATTATGGCGTTTCACTATGGCCCTAGTAGGGTAATTTCTACACGGGTTATTATAGACAAACTAACTATCCTTTGAAAGTAAAAATTGTATAAGGCTGAAGTTTCTAACGCTTTCAAAAACGAAATCGAAAAAATGAGATGATATGTATTTGTGTCAGGGACTTTCACGAAAAATTCGTGTCGTGCCCGTGCCGTGCCTTGGCACGACACGAAGTACGATTTGTAATTTGTGCCGTGCCAAGGCACGACACAAAGTTCGCTTGGTAATTCGTGCCGTGCCTAGGCACGACACGAAGTTTGCTTGGTAATTCGTGCCCGTGCCAAGGCACGACACGAATTACACTTACTAAATCGTGTCGTGCCTTAAATATTGCTTTTGAGATTCTACACAATATTCCATGCGTGCCTTTAAAACGTGCCTTGGCACAACACATTTCAAAAATTTTATTTGTGTCGTGCCTTGGCACGGCACGAATTACCAAAGGTATACTTTGTGTCGTGCCTAGGCACGGCACGAATTACAAAACGTTTTTCGTGTCGTGCCAAGGCACGGCACGGGCACGACACGAATTTTTGTTTTTTTTTGTGTCCGTGTCGGCCCTTTTGTGTTCATTTTATGAAAACGAAAAACGAAAACAAAAAACAATTAAATGTAAATTTATTACCAAAAAAAATTTTAAGTTTAGTTTTTTAAAATGTTAATAACTTAGAATAAAATAACCAAAATGTGTTCAATAAGGGGTAAAAATGTGATGTTTACACACACACACATAATCAGTTTTGATAGAATTTTCTTTCAAGCATTGGATATAATATAGGAAAGAACTTTCGGTCATTATGTCTAATAGGATTTTAATCAAAAAATCTTATTGGAAACAAAAAATAAACATATTTTCGACTTCGTTTTTCATTTTGAATAATTTTCTTAATTTTTACTGTTGAGTTGAGTTATAATACACGCAACCTTATTGAATAATTTTATCATATTAGAATAGAATAGAAGACAATTAAGATTGAAATGGATTTAGTCAAAATAATACGTCTATTTAAATAAAATATTACTTTTCATAGTACAAAACTGATAACTCGAGTAAATATTTTAAATATCCTCTGGATAACATTTCAATGCATAACGTTTCGTCCTTTATTGTATAAAGTTTTATCACAGTATTTAAAAATTCAATCAGTGCATTAACAGTGTCAAAATCCTTCACCGTGTTCTGAAAATCAATAATTTTATTTATTACTATGCTATTCTTATGAACCAAGTCAAATATATATCGATACCTTCATGCTAAAAATATCCCCTTTTACTTTGGTCGACGAAAATGATGCACTTTACACAAGGGAAGAAGTTACCAGAATACACGTGTTAAACAACAAAATTTCATATTTTGGGGCGTTCCATGTTCCAAGAGCAGGGCAAACTTTGAATCTCAGATTTTTTTCATACTTCGCCATTTTGTTGTCTCAGGGATAGTTTATAAGTTGTGCAAATAGTTTTGCCAAATTTCAATAATTTTACAAGATATTGTTATTTAAACTTGGATAATTAGTTTAGATGACCAATGTGAAAGAGATTTTTGTAATATGAAGATATCGAAATGATCGATAACTCAATGCATGCCATTGGAGAAGGAAGTAAAAACTCTAATGTTACTCGTCTTATTGTTTCAATTAGAATTTTCTTTGATTCTGGAATATCCAACATTGTAGTTGCTGAAGAAGAACCACTGAATTTGTTTTCAACATCTTGTACGGTTATTTCATTACAATAACTGTAAAAGCATTAATGTAAAAATGCAAAAAATATTATATCATATAATTAAAAATATATAAATAATCAATTAAATAGCAAATAATATTAAATACTATTATATTATTTTTAATATTAAAACCAGATTGTCACTAGCAAATGTCTCTATTATAGGCATGAAATCCACCAATACTTACTTGGCTAAAGTAAATGAAGTGCAGCAGATGTTTTGAAATTTCTCTAAATCGGAAATATTATTTGCTTCAATAAGTTTTATTACATTGCCGTATAGAAATGTAATAATTTTAAGGTGAATATATTTAAAGCTCTCTGTACTGTATTCTATTAGAAAATTGAACAACTTTGCTGCAGACAATACTGAATGTGAATCGAAAATTGTTCGTTCAAGAAAACTTAGTAAGCTTTCTTCATGTTTTTGAATTAATTGAATTCCTTGAGATTCGGTAAAATCAACGAAAACTCTAGAAATAAAAATTTAGCCTCATAAAGTTATATAATTTTTTATCCGTCATTTTAAATTTCTTAAATCGAACTTTCAATTCATCATTATAGAATGACATTTTTACCACTTCTTCGTCACATGTGTGGGTACCGCCGGAATTAGAATTAATTAAAAATATTAATTTTTATTATTTTTTAACCGAAGAACTATTTTAAAAAAACCGTTTGTCGAACAACTTTCTTTAAACTGACTCCAATTTTTTTTATTTTTTTCATAAAAATTAATACAGTTAAACCTGGATAAGTGAGAATTCAAGGGACCGAGAATTTTATCTCACTTACATAAGTTTCTTACATATATCCACAGGTTCTCACTTATAAATGTATAAATGTTTTCGCGAAGGCATTTCGACTTTTCAAAGAATTGAAAACTTTTGTATTAAACTCTTAAAAGCAAACGCTTCTTGTTAAGGGGAGGTTCCCATTGCGGGAGTCAAAAAAATTGATTTCTTTTTTATTGTATTTTTTTAAAGCTATATATATGTAGAATATGTGTGTATAGCGATTTTTTGATCCGAAGAATATTTTCGTTTTTATGAAGTCTTGAACTCACCGCCGTCCCGAGCACTGAGTAACAAATGTCAGGCAAATCGAATCAATTTTTAAAAATTTTGCAAATCTGACCTCAGAATCGTAAAGAGCGACCCTAAATACCTATAGATATTTATCATATACGCAAATTGAACAAAGAATTGCAAAGAATACAATTATTGCACAAAAATGTTTCTGAAACCTTAAACGCGTTTTACTCGAAACAAGATTTTAAAACTGGTGGGCATCGTAGCGTCTAAACTATTTAATCAATCAACTTCGGGTTTGCGGATAATTAAAGGTAACTAAATTCTACTGGGGTTATACCTATAATATGATAAAATTGTTAACAATAGAGATTTTTACAAGAGATCAAATATGGAAAAATAATGCGAAAACGCAGTTTTTTTAAAAATGTGTCCGCCATTTTGTCATTTAATAACTTTTTAACTATTTTATAGGTATAACCTATTCTTTAGGATGTCACCTTTATAAAAAATTTTGAGTTTTTGTTTTAGACTAAAAATTGCGCAGTGTAGAATGCCCACCGTTTTCCCTATTTAAAAAAACATTATTTTCTAGATGCGCCATATTGGCCGCCATTTTGCATTTTTTTGAAAATGAAATATATATTTTAAAAGTTCAAGAATGTATCTTTATTTAGAAAAAAAAATTACATCGTTAAGTCATAGCCGTTCCTCGCAAAAAATTGTCAAAGTTTGTGTTTATTTTGGCCCCCGCAATGAGAACCTCCCCTTAAATTAGATTTGAAACTACATTTTTCTGTGTATGACATATATGTATTAATTAGAGTTTAAATAAAAGCGGTCTTTGTTCCTGGAGGTCGTCCATAAATTACGTAAGGCATTTAGGGAGGAGGGGGGGGGGTCAAATTTTGCTGAAAAATGTCTTACGTAATTTATAGACACCCCCCTATACATCTATTAAAATTTTAATTATTGTTTATTGATATCTGTAGACTTTTCGGAAATAATACGGAAAAGATTCTCCCTTATAGAGCACGGAGAGAAAGGAATAGTAGACACATCCAGATACATGGATATCACAGCCATGTTAATATATTGAAAAATACGGGATATCCACAGTTAAGGCTAGCATATAATGTTCCTTATATACTATACACTTATTTCATGAAAATGAATTTACATAAAAACTAATAGACAATAACAATAATAAATAATAAACAATTATAACATTATTTATACGCAATAAACTCACAACGCGATTATATAGACGCGACAGGAGACCGACGCGATGGACAAATTGAGACGACCATTTTTAAAAAGGATGCCATGATAATGAATTGCGCGCAACAAGTATCGAAATTTTGAACTAACTGGATCTCCCAACCAAAGTTTATATGGATGAGGCAGCCATATGTGAAAATCCATAGTATGAATTGTAAGCCCAACCATGACTATGGATGTCACATCCATATTTGATTCAACAGTATAATATGGCTCCCTCATTCATTGAATATTGAAAGTGCTTCCATCCTGAAAGTTGTCTCTTCCATTGAATTGGATAACACAACAATATTCTGCTCAACAATATTTTTATGGATATCTCTTCCAGACTTTTTCTTTCCGTGAGGTTTGAAAATCACTTACAGATTATCACTTAAAGTGGTTTTTACATGTAAAAATGACGGGAGCTGGAAATTACTGTCACTTATCCAGGTTTGACTGTAATTCCAGTTCAGACGATAACTACCATCTTACTGAACTTAAATCTCTTTGGTTTTGGCATTTTTGAGTTTTCTAATCTGAAAAAACACATACAAAGCTGGCATCAGTATTTCTATCAGGGCTAAAAGTATTGCTAAATTTTAAATAAACAAACAGGGTCAGTCCATTATATTTCACCTGAAGCCGTTGCGGCCTATTTTTAAAAAAATCTCATAATTTGTAAAAATGATGTTTATTATCCATAGAATTAATTTTTCAGAATTCTTTTATAAAATTTTTTGAATTAAACTTAGAATTTTTATTTTTAAGTTGAGTTGCACAGTAAAAAGGTTAGATTGACAGTTATGAAAATTTAATAAAAAAGCATGGAAATAATTTAGATAATACAAATTTCTTGATTGATATTTGTTAAAAATGAGCTAATTTACTTGTATAAATAGATTATTATGTAAACATACCTAAAATAATAGATAAAAATTGATTTTAAAATTTACCTATGAAATGTCAAAAGTCACTACATTTTATTTACACTTTTCTAAAAAGTTTATAAATATTAATAAATTTATTACTATTTAATGTAAAGTATTTTTAATGTACTTTCATAATATGTGCTAACTTTTTAATTTTATAATATAGAAATATAAAAAATGTTACGTTTAATATTGAGTGTTTCATGATTTTCAGTGATTTTAATCACTTATTTCTTCTCAGGTGCAAGACCAAAAAATCCCATTTTTGTCTTAATATTAAAGTTTGATCTTCTTTTCCATTCTATTAAATTTTGGTGATGGAGAACAAATTACTTTTCAGTTTAAAAAATCTGCTGAAAAAACGAATTTGTTGGTTAAAATGCAAGTAGATTTTTGCAAAACTATTGAGATAGCCAACTTCAGTGTTATAAAATTACCTGCATTTTAACCAACAAACTCGCTTTTGGAAGCAGATTTTTTAAACATGAATAAAACTACAAAGTAGCTCGTTCTCCATCACCAAAATTTAATAGAATGGAAAAGAAGGTCAAACTTAAATATTAAGACAAAAATGGGATTTTTTGGTCTTGCACCTAAGAAGAAATAAGTGATTAAAATCACTGAAAATCATAAAACATTCAATATTAAAGGTAAAATTTTTTATATTTCTATATTATAACATTAAAAAGTTAGCACATATTATGAAAGTACATTAAAAATACTTTACATTAAATAGTAATAAATTTATTAATATTTATAAACTTTTTAGAAAAGTGTAAATAAAATGTAGTGACTTTTGACATTTCATAGGTAAATTTTAAAATCAATTTTTATCTATTATTTTAGGTATGTTTACATAATAATCTATTTATACAAGTAAATTAGCTCATTTTTAACAAATATCAATCAAGAAATTTGTATTATCTAAATTATTTCCATGCTTTTTTATTAAATTTTCAGAACTGTCAATCTAACCTTTCTACTGTGCAACTCAACTTAAAAATTAAAATTCTAAGTTTAATTCAAAAAATTTTATAAAAGAATTCTCAAAAATGTATTCTATGGATATTAAACATCATTTTTACAAATTATGAGATTTTTTTAAAAATAGGCTGCAACGGCTTCAGGTGAAATATAATGGACTGACCCAATAATATTTTTGTAATAATACGACGTTTTCTACACGGAGAAAAAGGAATAGTTGACACATCCAGATACATGGATATCACAGCCATATTATATTGAAAAATACGGGATATCCATAGTTAAGGTTGCTGCATCCATATTCTATGGCTGGCTGTATATTGTTGGAGTAGCAAAAGATCTATGGTTTCTATGGTATCTATAGACAGAGGTAGAGACAGGAGGTGAAACTTCGGTAGTGGGGATGAGTCAAGAACTTTTCTTTAACCAGGCGTATTTCGTTTCGAAAAGTCGCCGGCGCGGTGCTTCTGCACATCACTCACACATTCAAATTCTGGTATACCGTGTGTTTCACATGTGTATGATATGATTTTAATTTGAGGTTAACTTTAAAGTGCAATCGAGACACAATGTGTGTCATAACGGATATATATATATAGAAATAATGTGAGTGATTATTAAATTGAGTGTTATTCAAATAATTAAAAATTCCGAAAACGTGCTGTGTGAAAAGTTGAAACAAGAAGAAAGATAAACACAGCACTATGACTATTACTTTTTGTTAACTTTTAATACACTTCATGCTATAGTTTACACATTTTTTTGTTTTTAAAACTTTTTTTTTAATAACTAAAAGATGTTTGAAAATATAAACACTTATATTTCATATTGTATTTGTATAGAATATATTTTCCCGTGTTTACCTGTGTAGCTGCGCAGAAGTCCGTGTGGTCTATTGCGGCGAAAACTTTTTTTGAAAGTAAACGCCTGACCATACATCAGCTGAGCGACTCAGCATTGCCATACCCCCACTACCGAAGTTTTTCCTCCTGTCTCTAGGAAAATGACTTGATTTTTTCTTAAATTTTGTAAGAAATAATCAACTGTTTCTATTTACCCCTAAATTTTTGCAAAGTTGAAAAATTTAGGAATAAATAGAAACAGTTGATTATTGCGATTTAATGATACCCATATTTTTTACTTCGCCATAAAATTGTTCCACGGAAGTGTAATAATAACTCAATATATACACAAGAAAACCGAAAGTATTCCGATTTAAAAAAAAACTTATGTTATTGGTGAAACTTAGCAAATCTGTTTCTATTT